CCGCAACACACCTCCGAATAGCCCTATAAAATGGATCCTGTATACACGCAAACGATACTTGCGATAGTGGGCAACCTTGAAGCAGTCCCCGTCGCATCTGTATTTTAACTCCTAGCCTCTCGTTAACCTGCACCCTCATCGACGCCCCCTGATGCAATAATTTTGCCCAAGATATTATTTCTTCCCCAAAACCTTGCCAACGCATGAACCTCCATAACGCTTCCCTTTCCACACTATCATAAGCAGCCTTCCAATCTAACGCCAATACACCTCCATCACCCAACTCCCCCCGTTTCTCTATAAATTCTCGAATCATGCCATGCCTTTCATACATTGACCTTCCTGGCACCCCATATTGCCCCCTATCAATTACCTTGCCTATCACCCTCTTGATTCTGTTCCCTAATATTCTCGCGAACAACTTATCATCTCCACACATAAACGAAAGTGCCCGATAATCCATTACCGTTGACTGCTCCCCTTTCGGTACCAACACCACAATGGCCGTCCGTTGCTGCTCTCCCATTACCGCAGCCGCCTTAAGTATGTTAAACAACCTTACTAAAAAAAAACCCTCAGAACTTCCCAATTCTTTACGTAAAAATCATTTGGCAGCCCATCTATACCCGTTGCCTTTCCCAAGCTCACTCCTGACAACGCCTGCCAAATCTCACACTCCGTAATCGGCCCACCTAATGCCTCCCGATCTTGACCATCAAGCTCACACTGCACATACCCTCCCATTTCCCCCAATGCCACTTCACGGATGCCCACGCTCTGCGTATATGACTTAAACCAATCGTCTACATATCCACTCATACCCTCCGTCGTTACCAAAGCTTGACCCGCTCTATACCCTTCCATCCCTACATGTACGTTTAACCCCATCATCTCCATCGTCACTCTCCTCTTTCTCTGGCCCCTTAACACGCAAGCCGACGGCCGATCACCCCCTAGCACTTCTTCCAATCCTCCCATAATTCGCGCACCATCAGAACGCTCGTTTTGCAATACCCTAATACTCTCCTTTAAACCCTCAATGTCCTGCACTGGATAGCTTGCTCCTCCTCGCGCATAACAGTCACTCAGCTGCCCTTCAAGATATCTTTGAAACCCATACTTTAACCGATTATATTCCCTCCCACGACAAATATAATATTCTCTGATGCGAGTTTTAGCCACCGAATCCCACCAACTTACCAGAGCATCATCCCCCGGCGCCTCATTCACCAACCGTTCCCACAATTGCACAAAAGACTGACGACATTCCTCACCCTGCAACAGCTTCACATTTAACTTCCAATAACCTTGACCTCTTCTAGGCAATCCCTCCCATTCTAGATCCACCATTACTCCTCTGTGATCCGAAAAAACCGCGTCCACCACACGCACTCTGCTCACTATTACTGTTCGGGGCACGTACAAGTGATCCAGTCTAGCCGCATATCCACGTCTAACAAAAGTATGTTCTACAACCCCCCCCCCAACGTCCATTAACCCCACTCCATTTAATAATTCCCCCAAAATCCCCGAACAATACCCTGCTCCTCTAGGTTCCACGTCCTTACGCCTTATCACACAATTCCAATCACCACCAATTACAGCTACACCCGGCAAAGCACGCAAATAATATACTAGGACATCCTTCACAAATTTATTCTTAATACGCACATCTCCCTCTGCCGGACCGTACACACACACCAAACTCATCTGTACCCTACCCCACCATCCATCCACACGAATCACCCTCCCCTCCCCACCCTCACAATGCCTCACTACGAACGGGCTAGTTTCCCTTACCAGGATGGCAACTCCTTTCAACCTTATCGCATGCTCCACATACACATTATACCCATTCACCTTCAACTCATAGCCTGGTCTGTAGTTGTGTTCCTGCACGAACACCACATCAACACTATTATGCACCAAATATTCACTAAACCATACACACTTTCTCTCTGATCGCAATCCATTAATGTTCAATGTCATGCACTTGAAGCTTACAGAGTGGGTTTTCTTCTTGACCCTGGTACTGTCTTGCCACCAGATCGTTTCGTGACACCTCGATCCCTCTCCCCTCCCTTTAGGAACGCTCTTAACCAGCTCCTGCCCCTTAGGGCCGCTGTGTCCTCTCTGTGTAACTTCCGCCCAGAACTTTTTCGCAGTGCGCTGAGCAGGCGTGAGCACGTCCTCGGAGTCAGATAGCGCAGCAGCGCGCTTCCGTGATGCTCCCTCTGCTTGCATCATGTCGTCTGTTACAGTGTCCCGGTGGACCTCCACCTCCACCGCTTGCATAATCAAGACATTCATATCACACTGCGCCGACCGCTGATCTTGTTCCACGCCCTGATCCATAGCAGGCCCAAGAACTAGGTTTGGACTCCCAACCTGCCCAATACTCTTGTCATCCAATAACACATTTAAAGCCTTGGCTAATGAGTCTTCCACGTCGCTATCACTCGCATTCGGGGTGTTCTCTTCCAACACCTGAGCTACGTTCAATGAAGGTGTGTCATCCCCCTCGTCACACCTGCTGACTCCATCTCCTCCGCTCTCTCGACCTCCTCTCTCCAGGACTCGCCTTGTGTAGGCAGTCACACAAGGCAAATCTTGCTCCTCACCCTTCTCTTCTGCTTCATGTCGTTGCCGTTGTTCCATGTTGCCACGTCTCCTTCCACACAGAGCCGCTAGATGATCATGTGACCCACACAACCGACAGGTCCTGCGTTGCCCAGCGTATGTCACAAACACCTGGGTCCGAAATTCTGGCAGCACTACATACGGCGGAATAGGGTGACGTAACGTCATCTTCACAGAATACGTTCCTTCGGGTATCCCTGCGTATGGCCCAGTAGCCCACCTCCCAACAGTGGCCATATGTACTGTACCATATTTACCCATCGCAAGACGGATGTCAGAATCATCCGCCTCGAAAGGCACATTTCTAATCTTAACCCATGTGTAATGGCGAGATACGTCGTGAAGTCGCACGGTCACAGCGTAGTTAACTGTCAAAGTGACCTCCTGGTACTTGTCCACCACCGCCTCATACACACTTGCCAAGTTAAACTTGACAAAGATTCTCGTCGTGCCATTCAGCGCTACTCCACATATCTCCTCGTTAGCAATACCATATGTATCTCGTATGATTGCAGGTACTAGCAGCTCCATAGAAGTTCCTGTAACAGCCCCACGGATAAGCTCAACACAGACTGTATTGATGCGTCTCCGGCTGGCCTGCGCCATGCTGTGAAAATATAACTGCCACCAATCAACGCTAGGGGCAGCAGCAGCGCACGTCCTCACTACTCAAAGGTTGAGAGACGAATGAATTTCTTCAATTTAAAAGAATACTGGGACCTACATAGACTGTGGAAAATTGCATTTAGCTGAATGTATCATTATATACATAACAGTAAATGAACAAAGATAATTATTATTTATCAGTTAGACAAGTAGGAATTTGGGACACCTAGGTCGCAAAAAATGTCCCCCTTCGATACCTACCACTGTCATATCCACAAGTTGCTCTGGACCTATTATTAAATGAAATATACATACACCAGGAATGTTGGTAAATATATAAATTTGTGGACTGTATATTAAAAATAAATGGTTATATATATACACAATTACATAACAGAAGGAAAATATATCTTAATATCACTCACCAATTTGACTGGAGATTAATGTGTATCATACTCAGAAAACCTCACTCAAACTAAATCTATGAAAATAATGCTGGCCAGAATTACACACAAATCTAGAGAGCTTATCTGAGGTTCCTGGAGCTATCTTGTCCAGTCGTCTGATATCTCAAATTATGCAGGAATGCACATCCACCAATTTCGCCTCCTATTTGAGAGGTGTCAACACAATTTTAACCTCTAGAGCACGAAAAATTCTTCCCATTACACCAACGTTTGTACAAAATTCAAAACCAAGATGGCGAGTCTCGTCTGCGCAGACGCAGGCTTTCCGTTTTCTACGACATAAATATTATTAAATACAGTATGGCCATCTATTTACATATAAATACTGAATTTCTGGAAAATATATACAGTATTTTCCACATAGACCAAAATCAATTCCAACTTCTAAGATTAACTGGCATATATGTAAAGTTTTAAAATAAGATGTTTATAGTGATAAGTGCTCCATAATTTTATAAATAATGTTATCAACTGTGGGCACTTTTAGTGAGTGAAGTCCCGGCCTGACTATCATAGCAGTGTGACTAGTGACAGCGCCTCGAGAGGTGGTGTAGCTTGAGGAAGGTAACGGAGTTAAGTACTTTGGATTATGTTATTATAATTCTCAGGCCGTAGGCTAGGTTTTGGGGTTATATTTACAATCACATAGGTGCTGGTATGGGCCTGGCTTGGTGGAGTTGGTGTGTTCGGGAAAGATTCTGCTAATATAGCGCATTTAACAGGCTAGAAGCCGACTGGAAGAGTGGTATTTATTGTGACCCACCGGTAACTAGCCCAATGTTTATATTTTTTCTTCTACGTCCTAGCATTAATTAACCAGTAGCGGTGTACTAGTGTATTTTGTAAAATGCGAAATGTATTAAACGCAGGTTTTATGCTTTATATATTATCATTGATAATATTTGTACATTTTTCTAAAGGTTTATTTTATCTGCCCTTCCTGGTAATCAAACCTAGAGTATTGACCACTTGTTTAATATATTACGTTGTCTGTGGGGTATGGGAGCTTAGGGTGGCTTATTTTTTAATAACTACATATACCCCTAGACAAGGTATTTTTTACCTCTTTATTTCTATGATAACTTCGTAACAGTAAGTAAGTACAAATGTTTTATTTAGGAGATAGGAAAATAACGTACCTCATTCACAGAATCGCAATAACACGATTGTAAACACATCAGGGAACTGGTGGAGTTTCACGGCTCACTCGTCATTGGTTCAAACTGCATGGGTTCAAACGTTATGTTAAATCCCATTGTGTAACATAACGTAATTGTTTTCTTACAGTGGTCTTGAGAGCTGACAGGTGTTATGCTCCTCAAGGAAAGTTCCTCGACGCTAGTGAGGGGCTCATGATGTAGGGTATTGGATCTGTGCTCCGGTTTACTGAATTGATTCTGAATACCTTCCATCCCCTCCCCCCCCCACAGGCGCTATATAATCCCTAGCGCTTCCCATAATAATAATAATAATAATAATAATAATAATAATAATAATAATAATAATAATAATAATAATAATAGTAATAATAATAACAGATGTTATAGGGACATGAATGTACATCATGTATATTTACCCTCGGCTGACTTAATAAAGTCAAGCACTGACATTTATTGTTGGTCTGATGATACATTCTCTGGTTATTTCATAGAAATTAGTTGACTTTATAATATTACTGCATTAATACTTACACAAACTAAATAAAGGAAAGCTTTTTTAAGGCTGTGGTTCTCAACTGGTTTCAGATCACAGGCCGGAAAATTAAATTATTTTTGTGGATCACCATCTTGTTTGAGAAATTATATAAACAAATAGACAACGAATATTTCAGTTTGAAATCTGCCTACTAATTTTTTTTTTTTGGGGGGGGGGCGGGATACTATTCTTACTGACAAGCTTTTCCGTGTTAGGAGAGGACCACTTTTTTTTTGTGAAATGAGATAAAAAGAGTACACAGATAATATAGTGTTAAATTTATTCCTTATTAGCCAGTGTTTTGGATTCTCTTCCTACTGTATGGAAAGGTACTTGACAATGCGCAGTGAATATCTCTTTCTACTGCTTGCTGATTCCTGTGTCTGGATTTAATTTGCAACAAACACGAAAATCCAGTTACACACATACACACACACACACACACACACACACACACACACACACACACACACACACACACAAACACACACACACACACACACACACACACACACACACACACACACACACACACACACACGTTGATGCAAATGGCGAAAGGAATCTGACTGCATGTACTGACAGATTTGGGTAACTCCCAGTCGTATATACCGACTCAAAACTTCTCCATAGTCGACTGCTGGTACGAGTCTTGAGTCGCCAAATAATTTTTCATATCCATGACTTGCTCCTGCAAATCCTCTGGAACAATATTAACGTTTGTTGTGATTGGATTGTTGATAAACTTCGGAAAATATTGCAATTCGTCCCTGAGCACGGCATTAACATTTGGAAATTGAACCAAATTATGATGAATTAGACACATGTGCAACATGTGGGTATTTGAATAAATGATTTAGAAAACCGACAAGTTGACACATGAGACGCTTGTGCAACATTTGGGTACCTGGAAACGTTTCGTCAGCCAATGGGTTCTTCAGTCCAATGTAGATGTTTCAACCCTCCACTGGGTTTATCAGTACAATACATGGGCATAACCTGAAGACTGTAGATATACAACGTTACAATTTATCACGAAAATCTTTGATGATGCAGTTGACAAGATACACAATTGTACATTTGATTGCGTCAACACATTTCGGAATTCCTCTTCCTTTAGAGCAGGTGTCAGCAACCTTTTGGAGAGAGAAAAGGTCAGACAGCTGTGCAGTCTCTCGGAGGAGAGCCATGTTATTAAATGTAACATAAAAATTTTTCTCGAACTCAGACCGCGCTGTCCAGAAAGCTGCCTTGGTCTGGAGGCTTAAAGAAAAAAAAAAGGATTTTAACGTTATTTTATTTAAACTATGTTTCTTATTGTACTGCATTAATAACAGAAAAACAACTATTAGCACAATTAACAAAAAAATGCAAATTCCTTACTACAAACGAAATACAGTTAGATATGGCAAATTATTTAATGAGGCGCTTGTTTTTGCATATTGTTGGACAACAAACTCAAATGAAAAACTCTAAGGAGGGAGGATACGAAGTAACTTCCCCAGGGACTGCTTAACCTACTGCATCTATTCGATACTAATTAGATAATTAGTGCCGAGGTGTTAAGTTGGCGGGCTAGAGGAAAATCTCAAGCGGGCCGGATGTGGCCCGGGGGCCAGGGGCTGCCGACCCCTGCCTTAGAGAATGGACAAATAAATCTAACCCCTCTTTCAATTAAAAAATTCTGTTGAGTACTTTCACTACTGACAACCACCGTACAAAAGTGAGGAACAGTAGCACATCAAAATCGGAGCTCATATCTCGGCAAAAATCTTTTGAAGAGTCTTATGTTCACTGCTGATGATTTAATGTCATTGACCACCTTTACCAACGCTTTGAAGACGGTGTTCACTTGTTCCGGCAGTGTTTTTAATGCCAATACTTTCCCATGAATAAAGCCACGCACCCGGTTACAGTTGGAGCGCGCTGCTACACCAGTGTTTGGAAGGCAGATCTTGAGCCTAGCATGACAGGCGCACCGTCAGTGCTGACACCCACAAGACTAGACCAGTCCTAACCATGATCTTCAAATAAATTTTTAACATTTTCGAACACATCCTCAGCATTGTGGTGGTATCAAGAGTCTTACAAAAAAAAGAGACAACTGTTTGAAGTGTCCCTCAGCCATGTATCGTGCGAACACCAATAGCTGAGAGCACAATACGTCATCAGCCGATTCATCCACTTGTATGACAAACAGTGGGGACTGCCGTTTCATACTCAACTAATCATTCTCACTCACGAATATGCCAACATCAAACTCCGAGCTGCCCCACCAAGGGCACCTAAAGTGCTTATTGTCATCTACAACGTCAACAAGCATTTGACTCCTCAATATCTGGCGTCAGAGCAAGTTGCAAGCCCTCGTCGACTTTCCAACGGTCTGATATTAGCTGAGTGGACTGGCCAGGGGACTCTGCCATGCTATATTCACTCCCGTGCAGCCCTCAACAGACGCTATAACATTGCATTGTACAGACCTCCTCAACGTCGATGTTATAAGTGTCAACGCTGGGGCCACATTGCCAGGAAATGCCCATCTAAGTCACACTGGTGTGCAGTGTGTGCCAATGCTCATCCTTCTGAACGGTGTTATGCTATGATCAAACATCAACAGACTGTTGCTAAAACAATGTATCAATTGTAAGACTCAGGAGTTACAGCAGCTCATGCTGACTGCAGTGTGAGGGCTGCCAACATCACAGCCACCCGCACCTCACCCTGTACCCCTCATTATGACCCCCCAGGACTACCAGGTACCTCGAGTCTGAATACTGCTCATGCCTGCCCTCAGACAATGGGGTTGAGCACCTCACTGGGGAGCACGTCAACAGACCTCCATCACGTCGGCTGTCAATACCAGCCTAGTGAGTCAGCTGACAGTCAGCCAAATAGCTCAGCTGACCGGGACTTCACGTCTCCAGATGTTCCAAGTCTTGCTCCTGTGGTATACAACCTGATGTCGCGCATAAGGCTACTGGAAACACAACAATTTCTCCTGAAACAACAACTTGAACAACACAAGGAAAGATGTGTAGAGTGTACCAATAACAAGATTGTCACAATTTGTGAAAGAAGTTAAGGCTGCTGAACAAGGTGGTGGTGGTGTTCTTAATTACAGTAATGACGAATATAATACTCGTGTTGATAACTGTAGTGAGCATCATAACGAAGGCTATGGTGTCAATGATGTTAGTAATAGTGATGACCGTAATATAAGTGGTGGTGAAGAGTGTGATGAGGGCTATGGTGTCTATAATGTTAGTAATAGTGATGACCGTAATATAAGTGGTGGTGAAGAGTGTGATGAGGGCAGTTGTGTCTATGATGTTAGTAATAGTGATGACCGTAATATAAGTGGCGGTGAAGAGTGTGATGAGGGCAGTTGTGTCTATGATGTTAGTAATAGTGATGACCGCAATATAAGTGGTGGTGCAGAGTGTGATGAGGGCAATGTGTCTATGATGTTAGTAATAGTGATGAGCGTAATATAAGTGGTGGTGCAGAGTGTGATGAGGGCAATGGTGTCTATAATGTTAGTAATAGTGATGAGTGTAATTAAGTGGTGGTGATGAGTGTGATGAGGGCAATGGTGTTTATAATGTTAGAATAGTGATGAGCGTAATATAAGTGGTGGTGATGAGTGTGATGAGGGCAATGGTGTTTATAATGTTAGTAATAGTGATGAGCGTAATATAAGTGGTGGTGATGAGTGTGATGAGGGCAATGGTGTTTATAATGTTAGTAATAGTGATGAGCGTAATATAAGTGGTGGTTATGAGTGTGATGAGGGCGATGGTGTCTATAATGTTAGTAATAGTGATGAGTGTAATGTAAGTGGTGGTGCAGAGTGTGATGAGGTTAACCACATTGACATTAATGTTGAATACAATACTGTTGATAAATGTAATGAACACAATGTTGGTAGTGGTGTTGGTGATGACAGTTATAGTGTTGCGTGTAATGTTAGTGGAGGAGGGAATGTGAGTGGTGGTGCCACCTATTATACATTCACACATGAACAGCGTCGTGCTCTGTGTAAACAAAGACTCCCACGAGGCCTTACAACTGGAAGTGCACTTAACAAACTCATGGACCAGGGTAACACTGTTGACATTGATAACCTCTGCTATTTATATGAACAATTTTTTCATTATGCTGAGAAACTCAACAAGATCCCAGGACTACTATAATGGATCTAAACTCGTATAAACTTTCTATATTAAGTTGGAATATTGCATCACTTAGAAAAAGACTTCCTGACCTTCATCATAAAGTAACCACTGAACCCATTGACGTCGTGTGTCTACAAGAGTGCAGAGTCCCTGAAAAATCCCAACCCCCTAAATTACCATTATTTGTTGCATATAACCTTAAATCTACTAACTCTTGTGTTCTATATATTAAAAAATCCCTTCCCCATCAACTTCTTGCACATAAGAAAACAGAGGGGCTACAGTATCACGGTGTTAGGATTTATATAGGGAACTCTGCTCTCAACATATTTAACTTGTATGCTCCTGCTGATAAGTTTAATTACTTGGAGCTCCCAACTTGTGCTCATTCTGAACCTACTCTTATTATTGGCGATTACAATGCGAGACACAAAAGCATTGGAAACTCACAGTTTGGTAATCGTAATGGCAATCAACTGTTGTCACTCTTA